GCTGCTGGAGGAGTATGGAATCAACCAGAAGTTGGCTGCAGTAAGTCATCCTTAGGCCAACGGACAAGCAGAAATCACAAACAGAACCATTTTCGCCTGCATTAAGAAGAAGCTGGAAGACCATAAAGGGAAGTGGTTGGATGAGCTCCCGAACGTTCTATGGGCTTACAGAACCACCCCAAGGCGGCCGACTGGGGAGAGCCCGTTTGCAATGGCATATGGTACCGAGGCAGTTATACCGGTTGAGCATTTGGTCCCCACTATCAGAAGCTTAGCATGGAGTCGAGATCAGAACGACAAGATGTTAAGATTGAACCTCGATATGATAGACGAAAGGAAGGACACAGCGGCTATAAGGTTAGCATCGTATCAGCAAGTATTGGTGAATAGTCACAACAAAAGAGTAAAACACAGGGATTTTGCCCCTGGCGATCTGGTTCTGAAAAGAAAGGTGGGGATGGTCAAAAAAATGATGCCACCCTGGGAATGCCCATACAGAATTGCAGAAGTCATAGGCAAGGGAGCATATACGTTGGAAACCATGGCGGGAAGGTTGGTCAGCAAGCCCTGGAACGCCACGTCTCTGAAGAGGTACTACCAATAAAAGCTAAGTTTCGGCTTTAATTGGATGTTGTTTGTTGTCAATCAAATACGTATGAATGTGCAAGTTACTGAAATTTACAAAAAAATAACTTTCTTTTCCAACGGCCTACTAAAAAATGAAAAGCCAAGTGGCAAGTGGCATTCTAGCCGAGCGCCAGGCACTTAAGCAAGATAAGTGGCAGCTGGCACCATAAGCCGAACGCCAGACACTTGCTAAAAATTTAAAGCCAAGTGGCAAGTGGCATTCTAGCCGAGCGCCAGACACTTAAGCAAGATAAGTGGCAGCTGGCACCATAAGCCGAACGCCAGACACTTGCTAAAAATTTAAAGCCAAGTGGCAAGTGGCATTCTAGCCGAGCACCAGGCACTTAAGCAAGATAAGTGGCAGCTGGCACTATAAGCCGAACGCCAGACACTTGCTAAAAATTTAAAGCCAAGTGGCAAGTGGCATTCTAGCCGAGCGCCAGGCACTTAAGCAAGATAAGTGGCAGCTGGCACCATAAGCCGAACGCCAGACACTTGCTAAAAATTTAAAACCAAGTGGCAAGTGGCATTCTAGCCGAGCGCTAGGCACTTGCCATAAACAAACACACGGCAAAGCTAATATAAAAGAAAAGAGAGAAAAGATATATATGTATTGAAAATAGGTTGAACAGAGCACAACACAAAGGGAAAAAGAGTTCTGTCATTTCATTGATATTAAGCATTGAGTTTACAAAAAGTGAGATGTCCATCGTTACAAAAAGATATGGAATCGAAGAGTCCGAAGGAGCCCTAGCTAGATGCCTCAGTACCAACAGCATCCTGGTTGTGCCGACCTGCCTCCTCGGCCCCATCAGCCGTCTCACCTTCACGAGGTGGGGAATCAAGATGAATGACTGAATCGTTCGGCTGGGGCTCAGCGTCAGCAGTGGCTATGGAAGGTACCACAGTTGACGATTGAGGAGCGGTCAGAGGCAGAGCGGTAGGAGGAGCTGTGATGATCCTTGAGGAAGCAATGTCTTGGCACTCATCGAATATGCGCTCCGCTTCGGTGGGTTCTGGGTCGACATAGACCCCCAGAGGTTCGATCCCTAAATCCTTGTCGACCTCATCTGGAGTGGAACTGGTCTGTCCCTCATCCGGAACTCAGTCGGCGAAACCTTCCCGGAATCCTTGAGCATATCTAAGAGCACCGACCCTTGAGAACCGAGCGTGAAGAGTCAGCATCCCACCGCTCACTTTGCTGATCGCATCGATCAGAGCGGTACGCTCGTCCAGAGCTCTCTTCTCAAAAGCCATCCGAGCAGACTGTTCATCAGCCAGAAGGCGCTGGAGTTCTGCCTTTTCGTCTCTGATTGAGTCACGCTCAGTCTGCCAGACGCTCTTTTCAAGCTGGAGGGCATCCTTCTCATCCTGAAGAGAGTCATTCTCCTTCTTCAGGACATCTCTCTCTTGTTCAGTTTTTTCAAGCCGAGCCAGTACCTCGGTATTCTTGATGGCGAGAAGGTCGTTTTCTTTATTAGCCACCTCCAGGCTATCAGAAAACTTACGAGCCCTGGCGTTCCCCATCTCCACCTGCTTCTGCATAGCCATCATTCCGAACAATGTCTGCATAGGTGTACATTAAGAACGGTTAAGCCAATAGTCAGGTCGGGCGAAGGCAAGACCAAATAATATGAGAGAATTCATGAGTTGGAAAATAAAAGTCACCTCCATAGCAGATTGGGGAAAGCGGCTGAACACATCCTTCTGGGATAGGCCCTTTGCCGCCTCAAGGTCTTTCGGAGTCCACATGCTCCTATAGTACGCCATGGCGGTCTGGCCATCCTTCAGCATGGTCTCGTTCGGTTTCACGAACGTCCCATCCGTTCGGGTGTACCGAGGGGCCCATGGCGGTAAGGTGGGGATAGAAGGGGGGCCTGAAGCAGAAGCGGAGCCACCAGCTGCAGTAGGCCCAGAGGGAGCAGGAGCTCTGATCGCACGATGCAAGAGAGCACTCGGCCCGGAGACCCGGGTCCTTCTTATGAGAGGTTCCTCCTCAGGATCGACTTCACTGTCAGGATGAGGCCTTTTGCCTCGTTCTTTGTCCCGAACGCCCCCCGCGGCAGCAGGAGCTGTGGTAGTTTGGGGAGACGCGCTCGGGTTGGCAGCAGGGGTGCTGACAACGGAGTTAATAGCCACTGTGCTCGGGATAGTGTCAGAGATGGTGGCTGAGGAAGAGGCTGATGCTGGAGAGGAGGTCGCCCCAGCAGCAGGAGTGGCTGGGGGAGTATTTTTCTTCCTGCCAAAAGAAGGAATCTGAAGCCTGCTCATGTTGTAGCCGAGTGATGAGAGCGCTAAGAGGTTGTCTGAAGTGAGGAGATCTGAGCAGGAAGGAATATCGTTCAGAATGTATTTCTTCAAGTAATTACTCCTATCCCTGCAAACACTGTAGCTCAAGTCATCACAAGGTATTCCTAAGGAACGGCATAAGAAAGTACAAAAACGGGGAACGCATGTTTCGCAGGGGCAATCATGTTTATGAGATTTGAATTTCTTATAGGAGGAAACAGAACAGACACCAAAGGCGCTCGGGATTGGGTAACCCTCTGCAGCCGGCGAAGACCAAGCCCCACTAATGCCCACGATGCTATCCCTCCAACCCTTTTCAAATTTTATTGTGTCCGTACATATGGACATCTTCTCGAACGGGTAGAGGTGGTAGAAGGGTTCGTTAGTACGGATCTTACTGACCTTATAACACAGAAGAAGGTCTATGAGGTCAAGGTCCAGATTTCTGTCACGCATCAACAGGAGCATAACGGATATGATTCTAAAGAAATTGGGGTTTACCTGCAGGGGGGATATCCCCAATCTATTAAAGACATAACTAAAGAAAGGGTGCAGAGGGAACCTAACGACATTCAATTGAAGGTTCGTGAATAAGACTTCGCCGAGCAGGAGGCCGGCACCGGTCATAATGTTAACGTCCTGAGGGCAAACCCTAACTTCGATGTTGTCAGGAAGTCTAAGTCTCATACGAAGAACATCCAGATCTACAACCATGGTGGAAGTGCTTGAAGGATCTAAAAGGGGGTAAATAGAAGCCTGCCGAAAGTAAAAAGGAACAAAACTAACCTCAGAGGACTGCAAGATCGCTGGAAGAATGACTCTTGAAGGATTTCACCAGAAAAAGCTTAGCACTGTTCTAGAAAGAGAGAGATTTGACTGATGATGGAGACGGTAAAAAGACATGAAGTGGTATTCTAGAGCCTTATAAAGGCGAGGGGGGCCCGAGGGCCGAAGCGTCAGGAAGGCGAGAAATTCATCGAGCCCCGGAACATTGATTCTGGATCTGACCGTCCGTTCCCCCACGTGGTTTTCTCGAGCCGTCAACGTCATGATGAGACGCCATCAATAATTACCCCCTTATTAAATAAGGGGCAATTATGGGGGCAGTTGAGGAGGCCCAGGACGACATGGGCCGGATCTGACTTGCAAGCACGACATCCGGTCCGTACAGCTGGGTCGGCCCATAAAAAGACACTGCCATATAGGCTGAACGCGAATAAGCCCATCAAAGGTGACCAGGACTTATGGAGGAACAGGCCCAGATCCAGCAATCCGTCAATATTTGTAAATATCTTGTAAATATCTATAAATAAGGGAAGGAATGGAAAGAATGGGGGGATCTTTTTGTTGAAATGTAAGAATTCTAGAGAGAGAAAGAGAGTATGAATTTCTTGCATCTTCATAAACATATATACACACACTAAATACTTCACAACCACACATTTTCAAACACATAACCACATAAATATATATCATAAAATAATGTATGAAAAATAACGGCCCTGAAAAAATAATTCCCGTGCACAACAATACCGGTTGCGGGTCCCGCCCGGGACTTTCCCGCCCGAAAAACTGAAAAATGTCGAAATGGCGAACAATGCATTTCTAAGAGACCTGGATTCGAAGAAATACCCCAACCAACTCTCGAGACTCACCCGGCACACCCCACAATGTTCGGCACGTAAAACGAGGTACGAAAAGAAAAAATCTCGAAAAATCAAAAAATCTCTAAAAATAGAAAATAGGGAAAATCGAAAACATTACACTCTCTTTCTGCAACATTGCAAATTGACAAAAATGACCTTTCAGAGTATAATATTAATTTAAAATTTAAATATGATTTTTTAAAATGAAAATTATGTCTTTCATGGGGTCCGCCACAAAAAACTAATTTTCCATTAATAGATTTTTTTTTTTCACACCTTTTCGTCTAAGTATATTTATATATATATATATACATATCCAAGTGTATATACTTATCCCAATATTTTTTAGACATATATACCCTTAAAATATAATTCTCTGTGGTTTATATAAGGGTTATTTAAGTTATTTAAATGTTAGGTTTTTTTTTTAATCTCGTCTCTGCATCATATAACACTGCCACCATCCCCACCTTATTTCCACCACCACCTGCAAAATTAAAGGCACAACCACCACAATGGTGGCGCTAACACGACCATAATTGTGTATTTCAAATAATAAACCACCACCAACACATACCGTTACCCCCAACCATCACTAGTTTAAGACGACAAACTAACGAAATCGGGGTAAAATGGCAATCTTCATGTGGAAGTTCTTGCCGTTGCCTTAGTTCTGGCTCAGCAACACCTCTGGCAACATCATTAACTCTGCCTCACAAATCATTCGGCCTCTTCTCTGTATAGGAAGCAGCCACCAACGCCGACAAATCTCAAATTAGGGTTCTAATAGGCATATTTAGAGAGAGAATAAGACTTGAAGCAGATATATCAACCGTTGCTGGTATTATTATTCTCTATATTCTTCTTCCAGTACCTCTGTTGCCTCATTAATTTCATCTCTAACTAAGACCGAATCCGGCGAAGTCAATCGGTTTTACTATAGGGGTTGTGTGTGACTCATGGTTGATGACTGATTTTGGAAAAATAGGTAATTGGTGGTGGTGGTGGTGGCGGCGGCGGCGACGACGCTGCCGTCGGTGTCTGATTTCTCATTCTACAATTGCGTCCACACCAACAAATCACGCATTGTCAATTTCTCAGTAACTGAATCCAAACCCTTTCTTTCTCTATCTGATTTCTCTATTTTTGTTTTAAAATAATGATAAAACAATAACATATTTTTGTCAGTTATTGACCAAGCATTGTAGTTGTTTTGTATTGTGTGCCATGAGAGTAGAGGGAGAGGATGACGATGAATAAGAATAGAGAAGGATTTGGTGGATGTTCAGTGCTGCAACATATCTGACTAAGGCACGTGCAAACTAAAAGTATGTTACAAGGGCAATTTAGTCATTATGTAATTGAAAGGGCAGTATGGTCACAATATTATGCACGTGACTCTCAAATGCTTTTCTCCAGTTAGTTTTAGACGACCACTTAATAGAATTAGATAATGTGATAGTTTTTAGAAAAGATTAGGGGGTAATGTGATAGTTTTTTTTAGTTGAGGGGTTAGTCGATAGATTTTGTACACAATAAGGGGGTTTTGTAATTTTAGCCTGCTTAAGTTCAAATGTCAATAATTTGTTTTCACTTCTCAAATAAAAATGTAAGGCAAAATAAGAATGCGTATATTATTATTGAGAAATTAGAAAAAATTATTTATTTTAACATATTCTTACGGCGTTTATGTTCTAACTTTTTTTTAAAAAAAACCAGAAACTATCGTATCACTATCACAGTATTCCACTATTCCTGTTGTACTCGTATGGTAGAAGCAATTGCAACAAAATCAGGGATGATCTGGTAATTTGACCGCTCCCTTTGGTCCCTTTTCATTTCCCTCCATTCTCTCTCTCTACACTGCAAACCTCAAAAGAGTTCAAGAACCAGAAACCTAACCCTAGATCATTCAACAGGTACGCTTGTTACTCTTTCTCTACATATGTAATGATTTGTATATTGTAGTCCCGAAATACGCCTAGCCGTCTTGTTTACCCGTGTTGCTTTAATGTATGCTTTGATTTAAGTTCTGAGTACATGAAGTGGAAAATTGTTGGCTATTTTTGTTTCTATGGAAGAGTGAGGAGAAGGGAGGGAAAACTTCAAGTTGCTTTAATAGTTCTTCAACACATTGGAAGCAAATAGAGACTTGGCTCCTTTTTGAATTTATTTATTCTAGTGATAATTTTTCATGTGATGGGAAATTAAGATAAGTAATCTGAGGTGCTTTTATTGCTACTGAAATTAAAATCAAACTGATTTTTGCTCTCAAAAGCAGAAAATTAAGTACTCTTTTAAAGACTGAAGCAGGATGTTGTTCCTTGAATTATTATTATTATTATTTTAATTTCTTCTTTAATTGTATGGTTTGAATTCTTATTGGAGAATCAAGCACTTCATAAGATGATGTAAATTATGTTTCACATCTTTGTGATTTGTTTGTGGTTGAACTTAGAAACCGTCAATTCAAAGCCAAGTTGTTACTTGTCATTGCAATTTCTTGATTTCCATGACCATAGTGGCTCAATAATACAAGTACTTTCATGCTAGTTGGGATTGCTTTCATTCTTGGAAGTTATTGAATGTTATTGTTATCATGATATCTTAGTCACACATGCATCATCTTAGATTCCATAATACTTTTAGACAGATGAGTACTAGTACCTATTGTGGGTGGATCCATGTTTGTAAATAAGTTTGAGCGACATCTTGTGTTTGTTTTTCGCTTTTTGCTCTTTATTAAAACCTAGAAGCTGTAAATTATGAACGGAATATTCGGTCTTACATGTTTGCTTGTAAGTTGCATATTATCACAACCAGAACCTCAAAACTTATGTTTAATGTGTTGATGGTGAGCATCTTCTCTAAAAGTGTTCTCATGCAAAGAAGAATCGCTTGAACTCTGCTAATACCCATATACCACCAAATATTAAAAAAATCTACGTTGGTAAATTTCTTAAAATAAAATATTGTTTTCTATTTTGTTTTTTACTAAAAATAAAAACATACATGAGAACATCACTTTTATTATTGCCACCCCCTCTTGAGAATCATGAATTAGAAGTTTTTACTTGTTTCATATGAGGACTCTCTCTTTCTCTCTTTCTCCTGTGTGTTTGTGTTTACTATCTTGTGCAATGCTTAGAATACCTGAATTTCTGACGTTCATTTATAAAGATATGTCATTCTTCTCAGGAAAGTGAGTGTGCTTCAGAAATCTGTGGGGCATTACTATTTTTTGTGGCAATCAGAGTTGACAGTGAGGGATGAAGTTCAAGGCATTTCTCACCGATAATGGTGTAAACCTTTTAGAAAAGAGGCTCCTGCCAGCCCTAGACAAAATGGGAAAAATCTGTCACCTCTACCTGACCCGAGACCACACATTCTTCCTCCACAACCTCCTTAATGGTGATGGCATCCAATCAATTGCCCAGTTCCGCAAAGAAGCCCTCTTTGATGACTACCGCATCTCTAGCCAAAATGATGACCGCATTGCTTTTGCAATTGACCTGTCACTCCTCCACCGAGCTCTCCGTAGCATCATCACTATCTACACCGAATTTGGTGGCAGCCACAGTGGTGGTGGCATTGCGCCCAACTCTAATCGCCTCCAAATCAAACTGGTGAAGAAACTTCCTCCTCATTCACAGCAACCACTGCCATTCCTCACTTTCGAAACCAAGGGTTACAAGTCTGCAGTCATTCAAGATGTGCCCATCTCTAAACCTTTGTCAAGGTCTGATGTACTTGAACTTCAAGCTGCTCTTGATATGGCTCAAGATTTGCCTCAGACTTTAGTTCAAGTCCCAGATATGCATCAGTTACAAAACTTTGTTGATCGAATGAAGCATGTTGGGGATGTAATTAATGTTTCTATAAGCAAATATGGGGATCTACATTTGCAAATCTCAACTCTCTTGATCACACTAGGTGCCGAATTTCGAAAATTGTTAGTTATAGGAGAGCAAGCAGAGGTTCCAGTTGGAGATCAAGACTTGAGCGCTCAGACTCGAACCCAAAGAGCAATTCAGAGGGGAGATGCAATGACGGTGCAAGTTAGTGTGAAGCATTTTGCCAAGAGTCTTCAATGTCATTTAGCAAAGCCTGATTGTGCTTTTTATGGTATTGGTCCCCAGGGTGCTTGCTTGACTGTGATATTCCAGTTCTTTATTGCAGGTACACGTCAGACAGATAAATCAATCAGTCTACATTGCCGGCTTCCTGTACTTGAGACTGGGTCTAGTTGAAAGCTAACTGGTAACCATTTAGAGCTAAAGTAATGATGCAGAGAAAATTGAATAGGCGTTGCGCAGGGATAAGAATCTTTAGCTGTGTTGATTATCGGATGATAAAATTAAATAGAAATGTCAGCTTGCTCTATTTGTATTGAAAAGCATAACAGTGTGTAATTCAAAGTGCATTTTGAGAACTCAATTTATATAGAAAAAATATGGATTATCAATGCAGTTTAGGTATTCTCTTTCCTTGTTTGTTGATAACAGATGTGCATTTTGCAATTTGTGAATGCCATCTTACTATCATATTTCCCTCATTACTTTTTCTTGTAGGAAGTAATTTGCCATGCTTTTGCGTTGTTTTAAGTTCTCTTTGGAAAATGTCTCTATACATCGGAGAACATGATATGCATAGTTTTTCTAATGATGAAGGATTCCTAAAGTTGCACTTTGGAGGCTGATACTTGTGGTTGAAAGTATATTTGCATCTGGGAGATCTTCAGAATTTACTTTTTGTTACTCTTCTTATCTTATGTTATGGTCCAACAAAACCGGTTAGGAGTCCTGATTTCCTTGAACTTGTATCACTGAGTTTTGGGGAAGGAATAAAGCAAGCAACAAATTGTTGCAGTAAGTTGTTGCTAGGGATTTGGTAATTTTTTGTTGGCTCGCTTGTCGGGGTACTCATATTTGTTGCTGCGGTTTATACTGTCATCATAGTAATCTGTTGATGAAGTTCATTTTTTTTCCCCTGTTATTAAAGTTAATGTTGTCTTTTCAGTAATTGAAGTGATGTCTGGTTTCCTAAATCTTTTGTGTGTGTGTGTGTGTCTTCTCAGTCCCTCGGTTTTTTACTACTATGTTAATATAATAAATCCATTGTCAAAAGCATGAAATAAACTGCCCTTTTAAGTAGTGTGATCACAGGTTAAACTTAACCTGCCAAAATATTTCTTCACTCCTCAGAGCAGGCCAAGAAGCAAGATAAATGATGCTAGGAAACCTGGAAGCAGCTTGAAGTTACTAAGAAAAATGTAATGCCGGACCAATGCAAAGCTCAATTGAAACATATAACACGCTGGCTCAGGAAGGTAGATACTCTTCGAGTTAAGTGGACTTCAAATCATGCTAAATTTAATTTCAGCGACAATACATACTATATTTTTTCAAAGAATGGAACAGTGTACTTGATTACAAATTAGCTTAGATGATCTTGCATACTGTGGTAACTCTAAAATTCGGTCTGCTTTTGCTCAGGTATAGTAATCATGAAAGCGAACCAAATTGAAATAACAATTTATTCCTTGATCAAACTCTCACCAATATTCTTTACAAGAGCATGAGCCATGCCTGAAATGGTGGAATCGAGTTTGATCTCTTACAATCACTTCTCTGTCATACACTCCTGATACTAACTTGGCTACATTGTGACAATCAACACACAATCTAAGGTTCTTCACTATTCTAAGACTGACCCCAGGTCTTGAACTGATCCGCCCAAAGGCAATTGCTAACTTCTCACTATGCTGGTTTAGTGCTGTCTCTTTCTTCTCTTCTCCTACATCAAGGAACAATTTGGCAAATACCCAGCAAATTTCAGATCTTCTGTCATTTCCTCTAACTTCAAGTAGATTTCTTTGGATTGGGGGTGTGACTGGTCCCCGGCTACGAATTCATGAACATTACCATCCATCTCTATCAAACTGCAACCTGGGATCTTCTTGATACCTTTATCCATCATCATTTTTCTTACTTCGCATAAATCTCCCAATCTATTGCAAACAGAATATATATTGCATAAGAGAACATAAACAGCTCCATTTTCAGGCTCTAATTGAAGAATTTGTTTAGCTGCCATTTCTGCATATTTGTTAACTCTACAAGCACCAAGAAGAGCTCCCCAGACAATTGAATTTGGTTTCATGGGCATATCCTTATAACCTCATAAGCTTCATTTAGATGCCCAGCTCGACCAAGAAGATCAACCAAGCACCCATAATGTGCCACATTGGGCTCAATCCCATGTTGAGTGGTCATGCCAGCAAAGAACTGTTTTCCTTCATCTACCATACCAGTGTGAGTACAAGCACAAAGAACACCAATGTAAGTTATCTTGTCAGGTATGATTGAAGCTCTCAACATCTGTGAGAGCAAATCAAGAGCTTTTTTCCATGCCTGTTGATAGCAAGACCAACAATCATGGCCGTCCAGGTGAATTTGTCCCTCTGATGCATTTCATTAAATACCCTTAACGCTTTCTCCACAGCTCCACGTTTAAATCAGAGCATTACCTACATAAACATCATTCTTGATCTTGTTCTTGTCAATGTAATCCATTCTTCTAATTCAAGTGCCCCCAGACGTGCACAAGCTGTAAGAATGCTAACCACGGTGAGCACATCAGGTTTTATTTTGGAAGTCAGCATCTCACGAAAAAGCACTACGGCATCTTTAAACTGCTTTGGTTGGAGATACCCATTGATCATGGCTGTCCATGAAATAGTGTCCCTTTTAGGCATTTGATCAAAATATCTTCCACCAAAATCAAGATGTCCAGAATCCACAAATCCATTCAAGTGCCCCCAGACTTGCACAAGCTGTGAGAATGCTAACCATGGTGAACACATCAGGTTTTATTTTGGAAGTCAGCATCTCACGAAAAAGCACTACGGCATCTTTAAATTGGTTCGGTTGGAGATACCCATTGATAATGGCTGTCCATAAAATAGTGTCCCTTTTAGGCATTTGATCAAAATATCTTCCACCAAAATCAAGATGTCCAGAATCCACAAATCCTATCACAATTATAGTCCACGATATTACATCTCTTTTTTCATGCTCTCGAATATTCCAAGTGCAACATCCATCATCCCACAGGATGCATACATATCAATTAAAGCATTTTCCAATGCCAAACTAGGCTCAATTTTATAATCTTTAATGTGTTGATGAACCTGCTTTCCAGCATCTAGATCCTTCAGTACCAAGACAAGCATAACTGATGTAGGTGACACTCCCTTCTTCCCCATCTCATTAAAAAGCTTTCTTGATTCATCAAGCTGCTTACTTCTGTTGTACCCAGGAATCATAGCATTCCAGGTAAACACATCAGTTTTTGAAGTCGTAAAAAAAACCCAGCGAGCACTAACAATCTGCCCACATGAAGAATACACAAGTATCAAAGTTTTTTTGGCAAACACATTACAATCAAACCCAAACTTGTATGCATAGGCATGTATCCCTCTCCCACAGTCTAATGCAATATCTCGCGTAAACATCTTGAGCAAAAAGGGGAATGTGTAATGGTCTGGCTTGACATTCTTTTCTAACATTTCTATGTACAAAGATACCGCACATTTGGGACAGTCAATTCGAGAATAGCCCTTAATCATTGTATTCCAAATAAAAAGGTTTGGTTCAAGAATTGTATCGAACAACTGGTAGGCATAGTTCATATTGCCTTTTTCACGAGTACAGCAAAAGGCAATGATTTTGTAAAGCACGATGGGATGGGGTTTGAGGTGAGGCCTATCAGGATTATCTGTGAGTGAATTTGTTTGAATTGTTCCGTGGATTTGCAGCTTTCCAAGAGAGAGAGTTGAGAAATGCTTGTTGAGAACATAGAAGCCATGGAAATCCCTCTCTCCTTGAGAGCTGAAGTGTAAACATTTGAGAAGATCAAATGGGTTTTGGAAAATACCGAGACAGGCATATAATGGAAGAGATTTGCACAACATTTCACAAATTTGAGAAGAACGCCAGAAGATCTGCACAAAGGCTGAGCAGGACAGCCACTTCTTGTGCGTTAAGACAAACTAAAAAGCATTCCTTAGCTACAAGCACAAAACTGCTAATGTTTCTTTAGCACCAGTCTTTGGCTTCGTTTGGATTGAGGAGATTTGGTTTGCCATTAAGGAGAAAACATTTGAATTCTACCTTAACATGGGACATAAAAAAATAGTTTTTTATTATTTTTTTATTTTTATTTTTATTTTTTCTTTTTTTCTTTTAAACAAGAATGTTATCATTTCCTTTATAACTAATGTTGTCATTATTCATCCAAAGGAAGCCTTAATGTTTAAGGGCCGCTTCTACTTGCTAATAATTCAAATTGAAAGTGTTGATCTCTTAATAATAAAACTAGAAAATAGAGCCAAACCACCTAAAATTATGTAATTTTCTATAGTTCAGTTCTGATAAATAAGCTTCCAAAAAACTGTCAATCAGACTATTTTTCGCACCAATCTCTAGACTGGAAAATTAGATCCACCTGTTAGAATGCTACTAATCTCCGGCCGGTTCCCTATTTTCCTTTTCTCCAAGAACAGATCGGTAGAACTATGCATGTCTCATGTCTAAACCAAACCTTGATTGAAGTGATGAATTTTGAAACAATCATTAGAGTACAATGAGAATAAAAAGATTCTTACCTGAATGATAAAGCACCAACTTAGAAAATTATTTAGATTTACTATTATACCCAAAAAGAATATCGTAATATACAAGAAGAAAGAATCAGAAATCAAGGACTTGTGTCGACCTCTAGACTGTAAAGTATCATCAGACAAGACGCCAAATTTACAAGATTAATTAGTAAATCTAAAAGTCCACATTCTAATGTTCTGAAGATTCATTCATACTGGAACCAATCCTTAGCACAAACAAGGGCCTCTAATGTTGCAGGTTTCAATGAAGTCCGATAACTATCCACCTTCTTGCATGCAGTGTCAAACACACTATCTCGATCAACGGTGGAAACTGGTAAACACAATATATCAGATGCCAATTTGGAGAGAGTTGGGTACTTCAGTCTGTTTAGTTTCCACCATCCCAAAACATCAAAATCTTGTACACGAGGCAAAAGGGGTTCATCCAAATACTCATCTAGTTCTGATTTCATCTGTTGGTTACAAGTAATATCAGAGATATCCACATCAAAATCCAAAATATCATTACTGTCAGAAAGGTGGGTTCCTTCTTGAGGCATCATCTCTGTGTTGGCAAAGATTTCTTCTCCTTCCATAAAAATTGGTGGAGGAAGTGACTGCACAATGTATTCGAGAAACAGTTCACGAACACCCTCGTCAACAGTCTTGTTCCAGGCCTCCGCATTCTCACCGTAAATCCTGGAAAAACTGAACTCCACAAGCTTCATCTTGAACCTTGGATCCATAATTACAGCAATTGCCAGAACCAGGCAGCTGTCCTTCCAATATCTATCAAACTTCTCTTGCAGAGGTCTGATCAGGTTGCGAACAAAAATATCCTCATTTGTGACTGCATGCATCAATTCAAGCTGAATTTTCCAGACCTCATGGAAGAATATGTTCGCAGTTGGGTACGTTGTAGCAGTTAAAATGTTGGCAGCATCATATAAAAGCTTTAAATACTTGCAGACAGTTTCCACCTTTTTCCACTCATCCATAGATGGCGTTTCCTTGTAATTTGGATCAGACGTATCCAAGCAAGAAAACACTTCCTTCAGTCCACAAGCAGCCACCAGCATACGATAAGTAGTATTCCATTTTGTTTGGTCATCAATGACTAGGCTCTCTTTACTGGGCACTTGAAGCTGTTGTTTCACCTCAACAAATTTCTCTTCATGAACTTCTGAAGTTTTTACATACTTGACACTTCTGCGAACTTTCCTGATGGTATCTCTCATTGACCCTAGTGCATCTTGCGCAAGACAACTTAAAACACGGGCAAAACAATTTCCAATTAATAGCTGGCCATTGAGAATAAGCGGATTTTTTATATTGAGTAGACCTCTGAGATTCTCTCTAACAGTAGCACTCACAAAGGATTGATCAAGAGTGAGAGTAAATAACTTGTTATCCAAGCTCCAATTGGTTAGGCAAGCAGCAACAGCATCATTGAAGGAAAATTCTGATTCAGGATATGGTACCACGATAACATTAAGAATTCGTCGATGCAATTTCCAATCACCATCAATGAAGTGTCCAGTTAGAATTACATAGCCTAGATTTTGAAATGAAGTCCACAAATCCAGGGTAAGACTCACACGTCCAGGAATTCCACTAAGCAAGCCCAAAACGCTTTGCTTCTCCCTAAGGTACAGACCCACACAATCATCTTGAACAGTATTGAAACTAACCATACTGAAGTCAGGTTGAAGAGTCCGTACAAAATCAACAAAACCAGGATGTTCAACAATGTGGAGTGGATATTCATGCAGGATGATCATTTTGGCAATATCATGTCTAGAACGGTCCTGGTCGAAGGGGATTCTTGCTGATCCTCCTCTATAGCGTTTTCTTGGCAATTCAGTAACTCTTGCAGAACCATCAGTGTTTGTTCCACCAGGGTTATAAAGAGAGGGTTGATTTTTTTCCTGATTAAGGCGGCTAACAGGGCAGATCCCCAAAGAAATATGTCGTTTAAGGTGGCTAGTACCTGCTAATTTTGAGCCTGTAATGTAGGCAAATGACTTTCTGCACTGCTTACAGTAGGCCCTGGTGCAGTCATCACCAACAGTTTCAATCGTAAAGTAATCCCAGACAATGGACTTCTTTCTACTGCGCTTGTTCGGCTGTGTTTCCAAATTGGGTGGCTCATTGTTCTCAGTTGGGGTAGCCACCACTACGGATCCTGCATTAGAAGGAGAAGTATCATGAGAAAGAGTATGCATATGTAATTCCTGACATTAAATATGTCAAAATGTCCTCAACTAAGTAATATAATAGAATTCTTAAACTTATAAACTTGGTAAAATATTTGAAAATATGACCAAGCAGCGAAACTACTCCAATTAAGCATGTAAGACTAACTCATCGCATTCAAGCATATAGGCTGAGCCTTGGGCCAAGTGGCATCTCATTCCTCGGTGCTGATAGTCTATGGGTACACCCAATGGAATGAGACAACAGTTAAATTCTCAAGCTAATTATTACACATAATCATTATTTTTAACTATTCAAACAAAAACAAGCTTCAAAAAAATGACGTAAAAAGAGGCAGAGGCATTAAAATTGAGAACCAATTTAAGCACATATAATCAATTGAAGTCCACTGAGCACATAATGATCATGGATCATCAATCATCAATCAGATAATTTAGAAGACATACCATAGGGTTCTTCTGCACCTTGAAGTACCACTGTTACATCAACCATTTGAACTTGACCTGATGTTGAGATGTCACTAGAGTCGATTGAACACACCATACTGCATAAATACAAAATAAAGATTAGAGGAACCTTGTCAAAGATGTGCAACAACGTCACATAATTTTACATAGAAAGCAAAATAAAAAGGGGAAAAGAAAGAGAGAGATATATAGAGAGAGAGAGCAACAAAGCAGTTCAAAACGTCACACAAACCATATCTTCAACGAAGGAGATAAATTAGAGAGGAATCTGTCACAGACATACCGACCAAGAACACAAGAACCTTCATGCAACCAATTCAGGGGTCCAAAACTTCAATGAAGGATGAGGAATCACTGTATCTAAAATTGCTCCCTAAATCGGTTCGGTCTCATGTCTAAATTCTATAAAGTCATGAAAGTAATAATATTGATTAATCATAATTTAGGTTTTCAACAAACCCTAATTTGGGTTTCAACAAACCCTAATTTGGGTTTGTAAAAAAAAAATCAAGATCAGAATCAGAACCAATTGGTTAAACAAAGAACCAGTAGATCGAATAGAAGATGGAAAAAAAATTGAAAAAATTTTGAAAAAAAAAAGAAGGAACCGCATGATTAATGAAGTTCTGAATTGAAGAAAGTACGCAGAAAGACGTAAACTTGCATAAAAGTAAATCAGAAATTCATACCTCGAAATTGAAATCAGAGATCAATTGATGAGCCGATGGTCTCTGCAAGTACAATCTAGGGTTTAGGGTTTATATTTTTTTCCTTTTATTAATATTGTTATTATTTTTGGAGAGGTTGGATATATAATGGGCTTGAACGGGAACGAAACCCTAGTGGACCTTATACTCGTATAGGGCTGGTAGTGGCTTTGAGCTTTTAGCCTTTAGTCCTTTTTATGGGGGCGAGAGAGAGATTTATGGACCTAAATCCACCGCCATACACATTACCTAGATTGAGCCCACCATATTATTAAATCTGTACCGTTGAAAATTTGGTCCACAATCTAATACCAATTGGTTAACATTATCAACGGTGATGGTTTGCTCTATCAGCAATATAAAAAGGAAAGTGGTATTATTGTGTTTCAGATTCTATTTACTATTTCCCAAAAAGAGAAGAATTTGTTTTCCTTTCTTAGTACAATTACCTTCGTTTGGTATTAATATCCCTTTGCCTTTTACTATTGCTTAATGGAAAGAGATAACAGAAAGGAGACGTTTTCAAAGTTGGAAACAAAAAAAAAAATTTATTTTAAAAAATACTTTTTATAATCACCTAACTTTTTATTAAAAAAAGTTATAAAAAATGCAGAAAAAATTTAATTTATTGAGAAATTAAATTTTATGAACTTACAATAATGCATTTTCTTTTCTTGCAAGTTTCATACTATTCATAGCATGAAAATTTAATTTTTTATAACCTTTTTGAAAAAAAAAAATTCATGTTTATTCAATACATAATGGAATTTTTTTTTTTTTACCTCTCATCATTTCAGTTTCACTATTATTCTCCATCCAACCAATTAGAGCCTTAGAAACATTCATTTACTCAATATCTTCATTTGCAAATCACCAAATTAATGGTAAAAAAAAGCCTCAAGAGATTATTATTAGCGTGCGAAAGTTTTCAATCCATGCCGACCTTACCAGAAAAAAAAAAATGTCAATAAATTACGAAAAAATTTATATATATATATATATATATAGTAGTGATAGTTATTTTGGAACATGCCAGTAGATAGAAGAAAATTTTGAGATACTTTTTACATTTCAATTAATTAAACTTGTCATTTTCTTTACTAAAAAAAAAATAAGGTGAAGTGCAAAAATTGTATATAATGCGGAATGCAAGTGTCACTATTGATATTACTAATTTTCTAAAAAGCTTTTCTCTAGTACCTTAGAAGAGAGTAGGGGTGGCAATGGATCGGATCAGATTAGACATCTATCTTAATTCGATCTGTTCTCAACGGATTGGAAAATTTTGAATTCGCCACCAATCCGTTCTCCCGCAGATTAGATCAAATCGAATCCGTTGAATGACAAATTGAATCTACAGATTGAGATTTTTCCTAAATAATCCAATATTATTATTTATTTTATAACCATAACCAAATAGATAAAATTTTAATTTATCACATTAATTCATATATTTAAATAATCATTAACTAATACATTCTTAGCGTCCATTAAATGATCATCAACTAATTAAATTAACTAATACATTCTTTGAGTATACACACACACATATATATATATATATATCACGGATCGGATTTTTTAACAACCCAATCTGTGAGTTATCAATTCAAGTTTTTTTAATTCGCCGCCAATCCGTGGGTATAGCAATCCGATCAGATCCGCCCGAATCGGATCGAATTCGTGAATTCAAGGATTATTTGTTCACTCCTAATTAGGAGAGAAATATTAGAGATAGACATAACCTTTAATTACATTATTTTGCATTAAGTGAGTATTATAATTTGAACTCGGACACTTGTCAATCCCAACTTTTTAACAAAGACTTTTTAATGAGAACAAAAGTTGTAATATAGAGTTTGAAAGAATGTCACATTTAATTAAATATATATTTAGAAAAGAAAGTCGTCAAAACAAAAGTTGTGATATAGAGTTAGAATGTAGTCACATTTAATTTTATTTATATTTAGAAAAGAAAGTTAGATGTGCGAGAACAAAAGTTGTAATATAGATTTCGAAAGTATGTCACATTTAATTATATTTATATTAAGAAAAGAAAGTCAGATGTGTCCAAAACAATTGTAAAGACAAAAATTTTAAGGTTGTGTTCGGCTACATAAAATTGAAGTTTTGGAATTGAAATTTGTGCAATTAGAGAAAATTTTTGTTCAAGTTTTTTAGTTATTTTTCTCAAATTCCATAAATTCCAATTTCAAACAGCTGAACACACCTGCATGAAATTGGAATTGGTAGGATTTGAAAAAAAAAAACAACCAATTTTTATTCCAATGCTCTAATTCCATATAACTGAAAACACTCTTAGGCTGTGTTCAGTTACATAGAATTGGAATTTGCAAAATTGAAGAAAATTTTAATTTAATTTTGTGAAATTTTTTTTTTTAAATTTCAAAAATTTCAATTCTAAAACTCTAATTTCATACCGTCACAAAATCTTAGTATTTTGATTTGAAAACACTCAAGCTTAGAACAAAGTGCTGATGGAAGGCCCATGGTCATTTGCAGGCAAACACATAATTTTGAAGCCCAATATGAAATTTCACAAAAGAAACAGTGGAGCCACACTAGGCCCAGTGGGGGCAATTGCCCCCACTGGACTTTTCCATTATTAGTCATTTTCATGCTGAAATTTTAATAATTCTAAAAATGCCCCCACTAACCCCTAAAAATCCTTTAAAAGCCTTTCGAAATTCAAAGAGACCCTTCATTTTGAAAATATACAATATTGTTAATCATTAATTTTTTAATTTTCCTTGGACCATGGTGTTGCTATGCCTTTTAGAGTATCCAATAATCAATCAACGCATGCAGTCCTCCCGTCTCACATACATCAAACAATTACTAAAAAATTCTCTGAAAGCAATTACAAGGAAATTCGAACTTCGAACCTCCCATGGCATGACCATTAATCCAGGAGTCGTATTTCAAAGAGTTTTGACTTTTACTCTCAAAAGTTACTATTCGAACAATCACAATTTTTATCTCAATTTCATATACCCACCTTTGTGCAGTGTGGAGTCCACACCCTCACTCATTTGGTTTTTGGAGTTCTGCCTCCAAATTATATTCCAAATACAATGGCAGTGATTTATATATAATGAGAGATCGTGTTGGGAGTTGAGACAAATTTCAACCTCCCATCAGAGAGATAAAGGAAAAAAAAAAACACAAAAAAGATGGGACGTATAATACTAACAAGAAGGATAATTATTAGTGATGGAAAGGCAAAGTGGGGAATCTTCTCTGTACGTAACACAACAAAACTGTTTGTTAATTAATCTCTTCTGATGAGCCACAATGTAAACAAATATCCTGTGTGGCTGTGTGTGTGTGTGTGTGTGGTGAGTGAGAATATCTTCTCTATTCTGTCTTTTCTTTTCAAAACTCCAATTATATTCTTGCATGCCCATCCACAAATTTAAAAGAAAAACAAAAAAACATGCTGCATATATATTACTAATATGAGTGAGTGAGAGAGAGATCTATCTAATCCTCATGCATGGATTAAATTCATTAAATTACATATTTCATCAAATTTTGAAGCAGGAGTACGTATTGTCCCATAACTTTTCTTGGGCTTCCTGCTCATTCAAAACATGCATATATTCATGTATATAGACTTAAGTTTTATGATATAATGCATGATAATTCATCCAGTTTCTTGATCGATCGATCTTCTCTTTCCTTATGCTATATATTTATGGTACAATACTCTTGTTATGTACTGATGAGCTTCCTTTCTGATCTGCAGTCCACATACACAACATATAGCACCTTCCAAAAAAAAGAAAAAAAAAAAACCATATAGTGGTCTCAACAGGTCATCATGGAAGAAAGGACTCACTTAAATGACTGACTAATTCTGATCTAATACTATTAATAATAGTATATAATTAATTACCAATCTAATATAAGACATTATATAATAGAATAGAAAAAAGAAGGGTAAATACTAAGTATCCTTCTTATTGATGTACTTGGATATATTCTCCTTGATTTCTGAATAAAATTTTCTCATTTACCAAAAGAAAAGAAAAGAATTGTAAATATAACTATATGCACTCAATTTACCCAACAAATCATGATATATCATAGAATTTCAAAGTTTTGTAGGTATGATTTGGTTTTGCAAATGTTCTCAAATTAGTAGAAGTAAGGTAGCTAAAGCTAGATTCATACATAACCAAAAAGAAACTGTGGAATTTACTTCATTCAAAATTTAAAGTAAATATTGCATGAGAAGTAGTCTAAAATTCATAATAATAGGAAATTAAGGATAATAAAAATAATAATTATGACAATTCCCATGAATTCAACATAATAATAAAACAAACCACACCGGCCAGAACATTCATATTTCCTGATTAACTTGGTAGAATCTGCGATAATGAAATCAAATCCATCTACTGGGAAGAAATGATAAATTTTAAATTGGGTATTTCATTAACTAAAAGTACAATTACCTTCAATAGATGATGAGCTACAGAGGTTGCCATGAGTTGCATTGTGATCGATGATCATATATAAGAACGCTTAATTAGTACAGTAATTGACAAAGTCCTTAGTTTGCCATGTTGTCCCACAACTTTCTTGAACTTCTACCTGCCATATCAAGGGATTAGATAGAGAAGTTCAAGAAAGCTGTGGAAAAGCATGACAGGACTTAATTATAACCTAATTCGATCATCTCTCTCGCTCCTTAATAATTAAATCTCTCACACACACACACATATATATACTGGTTTCTTGAAGACCTAAACATGATCACTAGGGTTATGTTCGATGAAGAACTCACAAGCTTGAGAAAGAGAGACCACGTACACTCAATTATATATAACAATGTACGTTTGTGTGAAAATTTCAGCAAGTAGAGAGAATTAATTCACGTCCACATATATAATTTACAACAAGGCTGGATGAAAGTGCAGTACTTGAGTGCATATGCATGTACCAATGACACAAAGGACATTGGAGAGAGATCAGAGAGAGAGAGAGCCTTGTCCATAAGTTGAAGAGGACCACACTCTCCCATACGTATACAGATACACGTACAGTACATAATCTGTTCAGCAGCTTTATAGAATAATAGAAGAGTGGTGTGTAGGGTTACCTTCACCAGTCACAAGAGGGCACACATTGTACTGCATGCTCCATGTGGTAGATGAGCAACAAGACACAGGTGAATATAATTTATTCAATGCAAATTACATTATTTATTGTTCATTTAGAACAAGATATATATATTAACCAAGGATTTAGAAATATATAATTAAAAACATCACATCCCATCACATACCACCATTTGATCATTGCCATTTTTAATTCAAGGGATGGAGGGTCATGCAATTTGAATGTTTATATGGTCCCCCAACCCAACCCTTATTCTGTGCTTGATCTACCTTACATTCGTTATATATATATATATATATATATAGATATATATATTTTCGGACGTAGTATTATATATATAGAAAATCGAGCATATGTTCTACAAGCATAGCCTCCGTTAATCAAGATCCTGGAAGGAGAATAGGTAGAGACTCTTAGAAAAATGATTATGATAATCTAACTTGCACAAGTGCAAGGGATTGTGGCAGCTTTATTTTGGATTCTAATTAACAAACTCTGAATTGGATTCAATCATATTGTATTTGGACCGATATATTATTACATGTTGTACCTAATCTCATTTTAGAATGTCCAAGTATAAGAAAAAAAGAAACAAGTGAGAGTCCAGAAACTTGAGTTTGAGTTGAGATTTTTTTAATCCCTATTCGAGAGATGACTTACAGGATTCATAACGCCAAGTTATGTCTATGTCAAACATGTATCTAGTAATTCTTGTTCCAGAGAGGACTTACAAGATTCGTTACGCCAAGTGATGTCTATGTCAAATATGTATCTGGCATTGCCACAACACTCTTAGTGAATTGGTGTTTGTTAAGTAAAATAATTTTACTACCCATTTTTAAGAAAAATATATAATTGATCGGGGTGGATATAGACGCTCCAAAATAATATTATGGTTCTACCACTGTTTTCAGTAAAATAAAATACCAAAAAAGCCCTTGTTCAAGGTTTTAACTAACTTCTACTTCTTATATTGAGATGTTTCGCTTCTCTCTTTCTCTCTCACAAATCTCTTTACAAAACTCATCAAGGTCATCTAATTGTCAAAAATTCATACATCTAAAGATCGTAATCATTTTGGATAAGTATGATTGCTTTACTTAAAAAATAATGTGGGTCGATCATGGTTGATTACAACCACTCTCAGGAGTTTAAACACTAAATTCTAAATCCAAAGATTATAGAACTCTATAACCTTTCAAATATGTAATTCTAATGATTCTAATAGAAGTTTCATTAAACTTTCAAACCCATAATAACTAATTGTCAAAAAAAAAAAGAAGCAGAAGTCAATAGCCAACAGATCGAGTTAATTAACAGTTCGAAGCTCATTCAATTTTTTTCCCTTCTTCCTTCCAAACAAGGCATTAAACAAGGTTATAAGATTTGTAATGCTATGGACCAAAAGAAGTAATAGCATGCATCTGTGTAAGATTAAAAGCATAGGAGAAAAGGCATCTATGTTGTTATGTGCTTGCGGTTTGGTCCAATTGCCCTGCCTCCTCATAACCAAATTGAAGCGAGAAATTTATGTTATGTGGTTACCCTTTTTGTTAGCCTTGTGGTAAGAGGCCACATCAAGAAGTAAACCTGACGAAGAGAGAAAAAGAAAGAATGATGTTTATGAAGAGAGAAAAAAAGAGGAGAGAAAGATAGACATGTTAAAAGACATAAAAGTTTAAGAAAGTCTACCTACGGTGTATTTTGTCATTTCAATTTAATAAAAAAATAAGTGAAATTTTATTTTATTTTTTTTTTTTTTTTCTGAGTGTTAATATCATCACCCTATTAATCTGGGTATAAATATTTTCATTCTAAAATTACAAAATAGGCACAACCATATATGAGGCTCTCCATTTGTGAAGGCCAACTCCAATGACATTGTGTCAAATTAAGAATCCTCATTTTTGGACTTATGTAACCTGATTTGTGATTCAGTAAGATAGTTATTAGTTTAAATTATATTCAAAAGCCTCAGCTACAATAAATAATGTACCAAAGGAATATATAACCAATGGAGTTTGTTACTGTGGGGCTCGCCACATGACACTCGTGACAGCCCCCTTGGCTGGCAAAATACTTGTGAGAGTGTTATGGCTAGCTAATGGGCCCCACTTCGATCTTCTCTCCGCTCTCTTTCGGGCCACGTTCGAAATGTAGCCGTTGACTCTATCAAAGCAAACAACTAAGCATTTAAATTTTGGAGCCAATTTCAAGTAATAATACAACTGTTCAGTCGCGAGTATGTAATCTGAGAGTATGTAAAGTTAATACCCTCTGTAACGGTCTCCGCTTTCGAAGCTAAACCATTCGACAAATAAACCCTCTATTTCTCTCTCTAAATTTCTACAGATTCTAGTGAATCTGGACAGATCAAAACCATAAACCCTAAAATGTTGAATGTTTCTCTCTCTTACACACATAACTTCTCTCTAGATTTTCGTCAAACCAGAATTCTTTGAAGCTGCGATCAAAGGAACCAGTATAGGGTTTTTAGTGTTAGAAACAGAGGGATGGTCAGGATTATGCCAAGCATTGACCACGGCAATCGAAACCCTAGGGCTTTTTCTTCATTGTCGCTTAACTCTGGCATCTTACCTCGAAGTTTCTCGTACCACAAGCTTCCTCAACAGCATCTCAAGCTCTCTGTTTTCAAATTGGATGGCTCTTCATTTGGTAATCAGCATATATATATATACATATATATATATTATTTTTTGCCCTTCTTGCTATTGTTGTTGTTGGATGGTTCGTTGTCGATTCGATTGCAATTTTGAATGTTTCAGATGTTCATATTTCGAGGAACGCCACGGTTGCCGAGCTTAAGGTAGCAGTAGAGGGTTTATTTACTTCATCACCAAGGGAGGGTCAAGAGAAGATTTCATGGTATAGTTATAGTTAAATTATACATTAACAATTCATTTGGTACTATGTGCAAACACACACACACACACACATATGTACATGTATTTTATGTGTATGTACATTTGCTAAAGGGGCAATAGTATTCCAAATTGCTGAAACGACATGCCTGTTGTCCTTCAAGTTTGTTAATATACCAATGGTACGCTGTGCATCCCCTGCAAATCATCAAAAACTAATGTTTTGTTATCTAGAAATGGAGCATTGGAGAAAAGTACAAGTCATCGTCAAAAACTAATGTTTTATTAGGATTTTATCAAATGAAATTGTTTAAATTATCTATTGTTAAGGCTTGATTGGACATCCCATGATTTGAATGTCCCCATATACAACATACCTTGCATAATTTGGAAAAGTAGGGCATTTCGATATATTTATTCAAACATGGCCATTTCAGGTTTAATTGAAATGACAAAATTCAAGATGTCAAACATCTTTTTTGAGATGGTTATAGTTTCCTATTAAGATGATTTATTTTTACTACTGAAATGATGTCTGAAAATTAGATGAATCCACAAAAATTCAAGAGGTCATCCAAACAAGCCCTAATTTCTGTTTTGATTGCTGTCATTGTCTCCGTGGACATTTAAGCATGTGCCCTAAATGGCTAAATTACTTTTTTTCCAAATTTGATGGGGGTAGGTCGCATGTATGGGGGCACTTCTGCTTATGCCATGAAGGTCAGAAGCTAGTCAATGAGAAGGCTAATATTCGGAATCTTGGTATCAAGGATGGTGATCAGGTCAGTGCCACGTATTTCTCATGTTCTAGCTTAGCACATTTGTTCGCTGCATTTGCAATTAAGAACTTCTCATACAATTACATGGTAGCATGCCCATACATCTCTTCAAACTGTTTTATTTGCATATTTAAATATAGTTGAGTTCCATATTTCTTAATTGAAAGTTTTGCTACCAAATTATTTGAATAAATGAGAATCTTGTATGGTTTCTGAGACCTAAAAGTTGGAAGAACCTGTTGACTGTGACTCCTCTTAGATAATGGCTGGCTTTATCAACAGCATGTTGAGTAAAGTCCTCTCATAAGGAATGTTACATATATATCAAATATTTAAAAAGCTTATACATATATTGTCATGTTCATTTAGGCAGTATGCATTATTTTTAGTGGTTATATTTTTAATCTACTCTTATGTATTGCCTTTACGTTTTTGCAAGGTTCCTTGAGTTTTTGATTGATATAGATCGGTGAAGGGCCTCCGAAGGGAATAATAAACGTGCTCTGATATTTATGTCACCTTTACATTTTTTTTCTTCTTTTAGTAGTTACCCCTAGTTTTTCCATTCACAGCCAACTACATTTAGATGGTGGGACATTTTCATAACGTGATCCTACCGCTTGGGAAGCTTTGGACTAGTTTCTGTTGAAGTGCATCCATGAAGGGCCTCCAAAGAGAATAATAAACAGACTCTGATATTTATGTCACCTTTACATTTTTTCTGCTTTTACTAGTTTCCCCTAGTTTTTCCATTCACAGCCACTTACATTTAGATGTTGAGACATTATAATAACATGATCCTACCACTCAGGGAGCTTTGGACTAGTTTCCATTGAAGTGCATCCTTGAATGGCAAGGTGTTGCTCATAATATTTAGTAATTAAAGTTCTTAGTATTGCCCACTTGCATTTTAGTGCATAACTTGCATCATTTTTGTGACAGTAACTAAATCAAATCATTTAAGCATGACTAGCTGCAACTTTGGTAAAAGTGAAGAAATATATTAAAATGTGATTTTATCTACTTAATTCTTCTTCCTCCTTTTTCCTTTACCATATCTCCTGCTCTATCATTTCTCATCATTTTTTTTTTACCATTTGCAATCTTTTTGGCCTCCCCTTCATCACTCTTAGCATAAACTGTATTGCCAAATGTGTGGATGCAGTGATGGTTATTCTTTTTACACGAGTATCCAAACTTGTTCACTTCTTTTTATTCTTAACTTGTCATTGCTGCTTTGGCCATTTTTTTAGTATCTACTATCTATCTACCTTTCATATTGGCAATTTTATATTAACTTAGTTAATTAGACTTTTCTTTGCAAATAACTACTATGAAATGTAACCTATGTTGATCTCATTACAAAATTACCTACTAAATTTCTCTTCCTGTTATGGATGTATCTCGTGGATTTGTAACCGTAAACTTGCTTATATTGAAGATGGTCTGAGCCTCCTTTTGGCACTGTTTTGTCAATAATGTTTTGCAACTTCGTGAGTGATGTAGTTCTCCCTTATGATCTGCTCATGCCACTACCTTCTTGGCACTCACTATATTTGTAAAAGTTTTTTGTCTGATGGATGAAATAAAGTCATCAATGCATACAGAGGTCCTGCCTTTTTTTTTTTTTTTTTTTTCCTAGCAAGAAACTCACGCACCCACATGCCCCTATAGGGACTTGAACCCTCAACCTTTTCCTTTGGAAGGCGAGGAAGTACCACTGGGTTACAGCCGTTGGTAGGTCCTGCATATTGAGAGGGTGATTTTTGTTCTCTGGTATGGTGATCATCCATACATTGGCATTGGTAACATAGGCCACTAAGCTGAAGTTCTACAACTTCTAATCAATGTTGGAATCTTCGAGGTCAATGCAAGATTCCTTTATTAGATCAAATGTTTGAACCCTTCTTCAATTTCTCATGTCAAGGATTATGCCTTAGGGTTCATTGTTATTGGTGAATGCAGTGATTTATTGTGGTTACTTTCTTGTCCCTTTGTGCAGTTTTTTTTTTCTTCCTTTTCTCCACTCCCCCAACCCCCCACGTTTGTTTTGTTCTTCTGGGTCCCCTTTCATCAATTTTTTAGCTTTACTTTAATATGCTTATTATTTTTTATTGCAATGTTGCACCATTTGATACTTCTCCCCTCAAGGAAAACCAAAGATATGAAAATTTTATTTTGCTTACCTTGTATTGTTTTGTCTTGCATATATTGAATATGAGATACTGTTTACAATTTTTGATTCTCTTCTTGAAATGTTACCTGCAGCTTCAATTTATCCGGCATATGTCAATAAACTATAAAATAGCGAAACAACGATCTAAAAACCAGAGTGCTGCTTCCAGGCAGTTTGCAATGTAAGACTCTCCTCGGACCTCATGGTTGTTTCTTTGTCATGGTTGCGTACATTAGGAACTTGAACAGATGACTTTTTCTCAACTTGAATGAATTTGAACCAGCCATTGAGACACCCTTATAGTCAGGTCCAGAGATGCATTAGTGTTACTTATCTGGGCATTTTATGCCCAAATTTATGGTGCAGCTCTGTGCTAGATCATTGAGTCCGGGTACGAATACGTTAGGAATGCAATCTATGTGTCAAATGCATGATGCTTGGGGCATCAATTCTCACTGGTTTTATCATTTATTAACTGCCATCGTCATTTCTTAGTGTGGTCCTAATTTCATTGTTGCTGTGAACTTGAGATCCTGGCACTAATAAGATAGTTTTGCCCATAGAGATACCTGATTTCAGGAAAGAATTATCTTCATTGAGCAGTCAGCAGCTTAGTCTTTGAAATTAACCTCAGGCAGACAATATGCAGAATTGAATTACTACACCTTTTGAATCAATTTTTGTAAGAATAGATAGAATGTCAAAAGTGACATGCCATGCATAGTCTGTCATCCATTTACTTTATCAGCTCTACTTTTCCACATAGGATAATTCTCAACTTGACAAAGCATTAGACTTTACATGTGGTTGGCGATTACGAACACTTTTTTCTTTCGCCTTTTATTCTATTTATGGCCATATATATTTTATATATACACACACACACAGTCATTTATTTAACACATATCTTATGATTTCAATTTCATAAAGTTATTCAGTGCTTGCTGAGAAATGGAACTTAAAGCATTCTTTAACAGGTCACAGGGATCAAATGTTCATGAAGAGGGAGAACAGACCACTGTCAATGATAATCATCATAATGATGATCAAGAGAAAATCTCCAGACACCATGATTGCGAAGAAGAGCAGGATGTTATCATGCCAGAATTCAAGCTGGCTCACTTTCTGAAGGGGTGGCTCTCATACTCTAAATTGTGGGGTAGTACAAGAAAGGGTTGTGAAGGCAGGACGCGCCCTTCAAGATTTTCGCTGCATTGTTATGGAGGAAGATCCGGGATGACTCGGCTTTAGGGATGATTAGCAGTTAACGAGTTTGAATAGGGAAGGATCGATCTAGCATAGGAGGATACCCATGGTATAGTAAAGCCTTGGGTAGACATTTTGTTTCCATACGTCTTCGTTAGTAGACTTTTCCTAGCTATGACGGTTGTGACTATATATCATTAGCTTATTTGTATGAAATTTAAAAACTGATACAGGCATGGTCTACACTACCCATACTATTAATTTTGTGCCTTCCATGAAATGACTATAGGAAGAAGAATATCATGATTACACTGGCTTTCGCAGCAGGAATCCGGGTCATGCCATACTAATTGGTAACATTAATTTTGGAAATTTAAAATGAGCTGATAGTGGTTTTGTAGTATTCGTGTTTTGGAGCTCAACCCGTTTAATCCGATTAGACCTGTTAATTCATCGTGTCATAATGTTTGGTGAGATGATTATAATGGCCCTTCCCTTTCATTTTTTTTCCCGTTAGATAGCTCACTGTTTCATTCCATCCGATTGCAAATGTTCCTTTGCACTTCCATTAGGAGGTGGATCTTATATACCGTGAGTTTATTTTGTGGTTATTGCTTCCTATTTTACTTAGAATTGAAAGTCTTTTGACTGTTTTTGCATAGCCAATATACCTAACTTCATAACAAATAAATAAAAAATTGTCATAAAATATATAAGAAGAGAACTATGATCATAAACAATCTCCACGAAAAGATTGTATAAACAGGGGATGTATATAACAGGTACAGGTACATATATAATTATAGTGACTTCCCTTGATAGTTGATACAATCTTTTTACTTTTGATTTTTTTTTATTTTTCTTTTTTATAAAATAAACATGCTGCACTGTGTTTTTAATTGAGTCCATTTCTTGCAGTCATTGTTTGGTTATGATTTGTGTTACCACTTGGAATGAGAGTTGAACAGATATTTTTTTACATGACACTCTGAAATTCAATTTACATTGATTTTATTTTTGCCATGAGGGTGAACTTAAGGAGTTTATGTTTTCCATGACAGAACCATCAATTTTACATTTTTTTTTTCTTTCGTTACAGTTATCATGCTTGAAAAACTGTTGAACGCTAACATTTTCTTTTTATGACTTTTGCTCATATATATTATTAGTATTCAAAATTTGAGAGTGAATTGAAGTTCAACTACCATTTTTCTTTTATGAAAATATGATTCTTCTAATTTCATAATATATTTAAGATATTGGAGTAAATTAAAGTTACCAGAAAATTTCTTCATAAATCTTCACCGTCAGTAACTAAAATTTGAGTTTAGCAAGAGAATATAGAAAATTTAATAATGAAATCGTCAGCAAAGTAAAGAAGAGAACAAACAAAAGGAGAAAACGCAGATAGAAGTAGCAGAAGCGGATGCAATTAGTATTGAGATGATTGATTAATTGCAACTCTTTTTATTATTATATTTTCAAAAACCAATTGGAAAATAGTTGTTTTCAAAAATTGGCAAGATTTCTTGGAACTTCAATGTGAATGTGTCATTTTAATTTTTTTAAACGAAAAGACACTCGTGAAATTATATATCTACAATTCATATTATATGGTAATCTGTATGATTATCTTAGTGAATGTTAATTTAATAAGTTTATGTTGGAATGTGTTCATGTTGGCTAAAGGACTAGATTGAGGTTCTGTTATTAGGGATGGCAACGGGGGCGGGTTTGGGCGGGTGTACCCTCTCCGCCCCCACAACAGTTTAAAAACCCCGCCCCCGTCTCCGTCCAAAACCGTAAAAAAAAATTGGCAAGATTTCTTGGAACTTCAATGTGAATGTGTCATTTTAATTTTTTTAAACGAAAAGACACTCGTGAAATTATATATCTACAATTCATATTATATGGTAGTCTGTATGATTATCTTAGTGAATGTTAATTTAATAAGTTTATGTTGGAATGTGTTCATGTTGGCTAAAGGACTAGATTGAGGTTCTGTTATTAGGGATGGCAACGGGGGCGGGTTTGGGCGGGTGTACCCTCTCCGCCCCCACAACAGTTTAAAAACCCCGCCCCCGTCCCCGTCCAAAACCGTAAAAACGGGGATACTTCCCAACCCATTCCTGTAACCGTTTAATATTTTTACCGCGGGTACCCGCCCCGCCCCGTCCCGTTTAAAACCATAATTTATTTATTGTTGAAATAGATTTACTTTTTTTTTTTTTTTTTCTCTCATCTTCAATTCTTCACCATTGCAAATTTCATTTTAATCAAATTCATTTTTAAACGTTAATATTGTTATATAGGGTACTTAATATATAATAGGAAATATATATACTAATGAAATGTGGGTATTTAAGTAATTTGCATATCTAAACGGGGCGGGGCGGAGCGACCTTTCCCCGCCCCCGCACCAAACCCGCGCGGGTTTTTATTACATCAAACCATCCCCACCCAAATAAGCAAAACGGTCCCCCAAAACTGCTAAAAACGGTGCGGGGTGGGGCCGGTCAAATTGTCATCCTATCTGTTATTGAAACTTAAAGTCCTCTAATTTTCTTCTCAATTTTCTTGTAGTCATTGTTTGGTTCTGATTTGTTACCACTTTCAATGAGATTGAACTAACATTTTTTTTACATGACACTGTGAAATTCAATTTTACATGATTTTAGTTTCGCAATGAGAATGAACTTTAGGAGTTTAGTCCGTCCATGAAAGAACCATCAACTTTACATTCTTTTTTTCTTCTGTTCCCATTTCATGCATAAAAAAACGGATGAAAGCTAATATTTTTTTTATGAGTTTTGCTAATATATATTGTTAGTATCCAAAATTTGAGAGTGAACTGAAATTCAACTATAATTTGTTTTTTTTTATGAAATATGAATGGTGATTACATTTAAGATATTGAAGTAAACTGAAAAAATCAAATCTTGAAGATGGTTAGTTGATTATTATTATTATTATTTTATTATTTTGTGTTCTATGATATTTTAATTTGAGTCTAATGTTATCTTCAAAATTTATTTATTTATTTATTTTTAACAGGAAATAAACAAAGAAAAATTCACCTTCCAAAAAAAGAAAGAATTAAGTAATCAAGTTTCATAATACGAAGTATATTTTACAATGTTATAGAAAATCAAAGAAGATTCCTGTTTGGCTGCATTACAATTTTTGGTATGTAGAGGGGATGAAGCTCTGTTTCCTATTCATGTTTTAATATGAAGAATAATATATGTTAATTCACCAAATTATCACTATTCATGTTTTGACTTTTTTGCATAGCGGATATAACTCACTTATATCTTCATAACAAATAAAACAAAATTTGTCATAAAAAATATAAGAAGATAACTATGATCATAAACAATCTCCATGAAGAGATTGTATGAACAGGGCATGTATATAAGAGGTACATATATAATTATAGTGACTTCCCTTGATAGTTGATACAATCTTACTTTTGATTTTTTTTTTTCTTTTTTATAAAATAAACATGCTGCATTGTTTTTTCAATTGACTTCATTTCTTGTAGTCATTGTTTAGTTATGATTTGTGTTACCACTTGTAATGAGAGTGAACCGACATTTTTTTTACATGACACTGAAATTCAATTTTACATGATTTTATTTTTGCCATGAGAGTAAACTTAAGGAGTTTATGTTTTCCATGACAGAACCATCAATTTTACATACTTTTTTTTTTTCTTCCATTACAGTTACCATGCATGAAAAACTGATGAACACTAACATTTTCTTTTTATGATTTTTGCTCATATATATTATTAGTATTCAAAATTTGAGAGTGCACCGAAGTTCAACTGCCATTTTTCTTTCCTGAAAACATGATTCTACTAATTTCGTTATATATTTAAGATATTGGAGTAAGCTGAAGTTACCAGAAAAATCCTTCATAAATCTTCACCGTAAGTAATTAAAATTTGAGTCTATCAAGAGAAAAATTTAATAATGAAGTTGAGAGAAAAATTTAATAATGAAGTTGCAGCGAAGATGAGAAATGTTCGCGATGCATATGAAAAAGACAGGAAGGATTGGTTGATCGTTCGAACTTCCCAAACACAATATATATCTTTCAAGATTAAAAATTATCACAAACGGATTGAAATTAGTATTCACATGATTGATTAATTGTAACTCTTTTGTATTATTATATTTTCAAAAATCAATTTAAAAATAGTTAGTTTTTAAAAATTTGCAAGTCTTCGAATCTGAATGTGAACATGTCATTATAGTTTTTTTAAAGTGAAAAATTACTCCTGAAATTATATATATATCTAATCTGAATGTCAACTTTTAAAATGAAAAGTTACTCCCAAAATTATATATCCACAATTCCTATTATATGATAGAATGGATGTATGATTAATTATCTTCATACTGAATGTTAATTTAATGGGTTCATGTTGGCTAAAGGAGGAGTGTTTCTGTTATTGAAACTTAAAGCACTCTAATTTCCTTCTCAAATTTCTTGTAGTCATTGCTTGGTTATGATTTGTTACCACTTTCAATGAGAGTGAACTAACATTTTTTTTTCATGACACAGTGAAACTCAATTTTACATGATTTTAGTTTCGCAATGAGAATGAACTTTAGTAGTTTAGTTTGTCCATGAAAGAACCATCAACTTTACATGATTTTTTTCTTCGGTTCCCGTTTTCATGCATAAAAAAACTGATGAAAGCTAATATTTTTTTTATGACTTTTGCTCATATATATTGTTACTATCCAAAATTTGAGATTGAACTGTAATTTATTTTTATTGAAATATGAATGGCTATACATTTAAGTTATTGGAGTAAACTGAAAAAATCAAATCTTGAAGAGGTTAGTTGATTTTTTTTCTTTTTTTTTTTTCATTTTCTGTTATGTGATATTTTAATTTGAGTCTAATGTTATTATTTAAATTTTTTTTAACAGGAAAGAAGCAATGGAAGATTCATTTTGGAAGAAAGAATTAAGTAATCAAGTTTCATAATATATTTTACGTAGTTATGTTATAGAAAATCAAAGAAGATCAGTATTTTACTGCATTACATTTTTGGCATTTTCAATTATCGTTGTTTTAAATCATCTACGAATTATCTGAATAATTATGTAGAGTGGATGAAGCGTTTGGTTCCTATTCATGTTTTGATATGAGGAATAATATATGATAATTCACCAAATTATCACAAATCTAATCGCCAATTTATATGAAATCTGGTGTACAACCATAACCATGTAAACAAATTAAGAGCATACATATTAGACTTTATGGATAGTTGGAACGTGGTATGCAGCATTTTGACATTTTGAGTTACATAACAGAATTTAAGGACTAAAAATATATATTTTTTTGAAAAATTAGAACAATTGATGAAGGAAAAATTGATTCTCTGCCCATTTCTTCACCTCTTCTCTTTGAATGATCTTTCCTCGCTTCTCTCCTCTGGTCTTAAATCTTAACCATTGGCATTCGAGTTAAGTACTTCTTCGATATTGATTT